AGCTAGGACCATCAAGAATGCAGAAAATGGGCAGTTATTGTGAAAGCGATTATTTACTGCTTTCAGGAAATATATTAAAAAAAACCCGAAAAGTTGTTATTATGAATAGTGATAGTGATCCGGAATATAAAGAAGACACAAATATGAGTATAGAACTGTTAGATGATATACCAGATAAGATTTTTGAGGAAACTGATTATGAAGATCATAATGACAGTGGAATTGAAAAGCTTGAAACTAAAGTTAGTGAAGATACTGAGAGGTGGTTTAAAACAAATTCCTTTTGAGGATAACGCAGGTCTCCAAAAGCCAGGATTTTTTTTAAAACTCAAATATGAGTATAGATTTATCTGGAATCCGTACAATTTTCCTAAAATTTTATTTGTAAATTATATTCTTTTCTTCGTTAGTGAACCTAAAATAACGATTTCATATTATTTGACTATTTTTGGAATAAGTATTGTTCCATTTTAATTACGTTTTTGTATTTTATTTTGCATTGCACAAATGATGTGTGATCACCTTATTTGTACAAAGTGACTGATTTCCATTGAAAACATGTTTTTTAATTAAAAATGGTCAATATTTTTTTGCCAATCGCGTTCCGTCAGCCGACTTCGGCTCGGCCATTGCTAAGGCCAAAAATGGAGGTCATCTCACTATGGAGGCTTCTTATTTACAGCAAACCTTTTTCCTTTCCTTTTCTTTCATTTAACACGAGCGAAAAAAAAAAGGACATGTATGCCCAATAAGTTACAAAGTTTTTTTTTTTTTTTTTTTTTTTTTTTTTTTTTTTTTTTTTTTTTTTTTTTTTTTTTTTTTTTTTTTTTTTTGTTTTTTTTTTTTTTTTTTTTTTTTTTTTTTTTTTTTTTTTTTTTTGTTTTTTTTTTTTTTTTTTTTTTTTTTTTTTTTTGTTTTTTTTTTTTTTTTTTTTTTTTTTTTTTTTTTTTTTTTTTTTTTTTTTTTTTGTTTTTTTTTTTTTTTTTTTTGTTTTTGTTTTTTTTTTTTTTTTTTTTTTGACTTGATCGCTTATAATAAATATGACAAATTCAAATTCCCAATATAAAAGTTCACGTATATCTCGGAATTTGAATAAAAACTCTAATTTTTGCAGTATGCTTTAATACGTTAAATTTTTATAAGTTAAAATGCAAAAATGTTTTTCGAAAATTCTGAAAAAATATTAAAAATACAAATTAAAAATAAACATAAATTTACGAGTTTTATATTGGGGCCTAAATTTCGATGTGAAAAAAAAAAATGCAAGAGTTTAATAAAAAACGAATATTAATAAATATATATCCATTTCAATTAATACTAAGGAGCTGAAATTTTGATTTTTTTTTAAACATACTCGTGCGATTGTTACAAAACTTAACAGTTTGGCGTTATTTGAATCGTAGAAGAAATATGGAAAAAAAGTGGCATGTTATTTGCAGAAAGGAAGTCCGATTTTGTGTCAAAATACCTATATTAGAACAATCCTATATATAAATCTAATACATATCCTATGAAAAACGCAATTTGAATTTCGTCAATCGAGACAGTAGAACAGGAGATATAGAACTGTCCCATTTTTTTTTTTTTTTTTTCGCAGTGTACATCTTGTCATTTAGCGGATGAGACATTCAAATTGTTTGAAAGGCTAGGGTTTAGGCAGAATAGGACTTTGGCTTTAGCACCCGAAAGAGGTGTGTCTGCGAACCATCACAAAATACCGAGGTTATGAAATGCATTATAACAAACAGGGTACTTAACTCGAAAATGCGTTTATCTCAGTAAAACTGATATTTTCATATGCCACAAAAATAAAATGCGCAAGTACAATATCATTTGATATTAAATATATAATATCAAACTCAAAGAAAGTATGAATGTAAGAAAATGATATGTAAACTGGATTTAAAAGAAAGATTTCTTAAAATGTGAATAGCCTTCGATGTTCTCAAAAAACAGCAAAATAGTCCATCTTCACGATTTACAGTTGAAAATCTCCATATAATAGAAGAATAAACTCACACAGCATACTGTCAGCTTTTCAATGAATGAACCCGAAGCGCTGAAATAAGACTATTTAGTTTAGTAAACAACATTTCAAGAAATAGTATACAAGCAGCATATATGGACCTGTTTCAAATTTTAATTAACCAGAACTGTCGGCTGCTACGTTAGGCACACCTCAGCCAATGAAAAGATTATTCAGTTTATTGGAATTAGACGTTTAAATAATTTAGTTTTGTATACAATACGAAAAAATGGAATATTTGAATTTATTACAATTTTACAGTTCTAGTAAATGTTAATAAAAATACACACACACTAAAATAGAAAGGGGATGACATCTAACATTAAGCAGCTCCAGCCTAGGTATAGAAGGTGCTCAAGTAAAGCCAAATGAAGTTTGAATACTACAGTTTATTAAAAAATTATATAAACATATGAATTTGGACTTGAAACAAGCATTTTCTATTTCCGAAGAATCCGGTTGTGCTTGTCCATTGAACAACTTGAACCCTCAGCAACAAGGCCAAAAAATCAATTGAAGATGAAATAATTGCGAAAGGTTATCGTTGTTCGTAGATGCTTAGGCATGTACTACCAAAAGAGACTTAGAATTCCGAGGGAAGGAATAGCTGATCATGCTTTACGAACTCCGCAGTTTGTGGGCAAAGCCAGTGCTTGTGCGGGAGTCAGTTCTTGTGCAGTCGTATTATCTCAGACTTACTCACAGGGAGAAAGTTCTTAAATCTTTCAGTCTAGGAAGTTGCATATCTCGAAATACAGAAGTTCTTGAATACTTCTGGCTGATCGAAGAGCAACTCAGTTTTCAAAAATTATTGTCAGATATCACTCAATGATTCCATTAAAAGTGATAATTATAAATCAGATACAGAAATTAAATTCGATAGGATTTCATAATATCATATTCATCGCCAGCTTATTATGACGTAGAATAAGACTCCTGGGTAGCATTTCTCGGATATCAGGGTGTCCGATGTTGAAGTGGAACTCATCACAAAATATCATTTTTTGACATACTCAATATGTCCTCCTTCTTGCATTATCGAAGCTTTCGATGCCGATGCTATAATCCAAGTCGATAGATAACATGTTGTGATCCAGCTCTTTTAATTTCTAATGTTTCCGAAGACATCTTCCTGTTTGTAAAAATACTCTAATATGATTTCACGGAGCTGAAGACGTCCGTGAAAGTTAGTTCTAAAAGAACTGGTCTCCAGCCTACTTAGTAGGTGAAGTCTGCCATACGACTATAAGGGGGCAGGTCAACAAATAAACATTAAATAACGAAGCATAATAAAATAAATGGTTAAATAACGGAATATAACAAACGTAATAAACATCTGATGATAGGCTGCAAAGCTAATATAAACACCAGATCATACAGTCACATAAGGCAAACAAAAGAAACTCAAAAGAAAAAAACGGGTTACAAAAGAAATAAAATCACAACACGTAAAAACAAATGCATACATCAAAAACACTATCGGTGAAAACAATATATAGAGGTATCGTTTCATATATATGAACGTTCCTATGTTTTAAGCCTTTATAAATTTTACTTTCCTTTATTATAATTCAAATTTTATTTATATTATAGAAAATCATCTTATATTTAGAAGTTCACTTCAATCATATCTGTTTTCAACAAGATTTTCTGTTTTGTTATATCTCGATATCAATATTCTTCTTATTCTCATTAACAATTTGCATAATATCTCTTGCAATTTTTCTAAATTATTTATAGTTACCAAATAAATCATCAAACTTTGTAAATTCATATTTTCCTCTCACGCTTCCAGTCAGGCAACAGTCCTCGACGAAGTGCTTTGAACGGCCAAATTTATTACAAACTTTACATATATCATTTTCCTTGAGGTGGAACCTTTTTAAGTAGGCAGGGAACCTTCCATGCGCAGTGAGAATTTGATTGACATCTATATCTCCTAAAATTTGCATTTTTTGTTAATTTTTAAGCAACTTAGATAATTTTTGTTTCTTTCGGCGAGATATCCAACAGATTTTTCTAGTCTTTCATAAGCCTAATAATACGTCCGGGAATTTACTCTTTGTTATTTACCACAGTCGTGGAGCACAGAAAAGGTTTCTATTATTAACACTTGTATTTCTGCAAGATGTCTATCCTTTTCAGAGAAGTGTCACAGCAGTAGACCACGTAATAAACTTGCATTTTTCTGGAACATTTAAATCATTTGTATAATGAAATGCGATTTGCATATCACACCCAATTTTGATATTTCTGTTCTAATATGAAGTACTTTCAACTAAATAAAACAGAAAAAAATTCTATTTAATTATCATCTCGACAAAATGTGGTTGGAAAACGTATGCATCTCTCTCTATATATAAAGCAGAATGTGTGTTTGTTTAATCACGATAAACTCAGTCACTATTACAGCTATCATTACCAAACTTTCTACAATTCTTTTCTGGGTCCTGAAAAACGTCGATGTCCACTTTTTTTTCCAAAAAAAAATAGCTAAAATCAGAGATATTAATTAAAAACTCAGAAAAAAGATAATTTTCGCTCTCATTCTTCTGAGTGGCAACAGTCTCGCAAGCTGGAGATGAAAACTGCTTTTTTCCGAAAGTTGTTGCCACTGTTCACTTTCAAATCCTAGAGCTTATTAATAAAAATTTCTCAGATTTACAATGAAATAAAAATAGCGTTGCCAAACATTAGCCGGGCCAAAAGGCGGAACCCTGACTGTTCCCAGCTGCGGCGACTTTAATCAGCCAAGATAGTAATTTAAAACTGTGAAACATGGTTCTCACCTTCGAGTGGCAACAGTCTCGCGTGTTGGAGATAAAAATGCTTTATTTCGAAAAGTGTTGCTACTGCTCGCTCTCAAACTGTAGAGTTTGTATCGTTCTCTCTATTAGATAAATTACTTTCAATCTAACTTAACTGGCATCGAGTACTTCTGCTAGTTTCTAATAAAATACATCTTCTGTTACAGAATGCAGGGCTGCTTTTGAAGTGTACGACACCACCGGAGGCGGAAAAATTGACGCCATTTACTTGGGATCTTTGTTGAGGGCGTTAGATTTGTCCGTCACTGAAGAGGCCGTAGCCAAGGCTGGAGGAACTAAGAAAGAAGGTAAAATAGTATCACATTTAAATAGTTAGATTTAAAAGTTCCAGTTGGAAATAATTTCCATTCATAATTCATTATGGTGTATTTTCTATGAACTTTAATTCCATCTGGTTTTCCTATTTAAAACACGAAGATGTAGGGATATCTGTTTATGAATCCGCTTGAAAACTAAAGCTAAAAATAAATATGTCGTTAACATGTTTATTTAGTTACATTTTATTTTTTATTAATCTAACGAGTATTAGTTTTTCTCAACTGCTTCAATAATTCAGCGTTAAACCCTTGATATCTGATTAATCAGCAACACATACAGTGGATGGACAAAAATATGGAAACACCTTGTGAAATGCATGTTTGAAAAGAAAGATTGATTTTAATGAAATATGTAGGTGGCGCTGGGTTTTGACTACTGACGCCACCTATACAACTTCGTAAATGTGCTAAAAACAGTTCAGTTGTTGTCGGAGTACTGTTATGTGAGGTGTTCATTGCATTATGTAGAGTTAACAGACTTCGAAGTGGGCAAATATTGAAGCACGTATGGTAGGTGCTTCCGTAAGCAAGGTAGCCGGGTGTTAGTGTTTCAAGAGGTACTGTATCGAAGATTTATTCCGCATATTTGAAAAGCGAAAAAACATCATGGCTAAATCACAGCGCGACGAAAGTGTGTCCTGAGTGATCGTGACAGACGATCATTAAGGGCAATTGTGACGAAAAATAAGACGACCAGCGTGCAAAAGTTACTGCTGAATGAATGTTGTTGTTACCGAACCCTGTGAGTACCAAATCATTAGAAGGGAGCTTCATAAACAGGGAATGCTGGCCGTGCTGCAATTGAGAAGCCACTCATCAGTGATGCTAATCCGTAACAGGAAAAGGTGGGGTTAAGTCAAAAAGCCTGGACAGAGTGTGGAAGCGAGTAATATGGTCTGACGAGTCTTCTTTCACATGTTTCCCACTTCTGGCGAGTTACGTCTGGAGAACGCCATCTCAAGCCTATAAGCAGACGCTTTTGCAAGAGTGAAACATGGCGGGGGTTCTGTGATGGTTGGGCAGCCATCGTGTTCTCTGCTAGCCCCATGATACTGTGTCAGGGCACATGACTGCCAAGACTTATGTGAACATTTTGGCCGATCAAGTTCATCCCATGGTACAAACTTTGTTCCCCGAGGTGATGGTGTCTTCCAAGACGTCAAAGCCCCTGTTCACACAGCTCACATTGTCAGAACTGGTTTCTGAGCATGAGGATGGTTGCCCATCTCCCCTGCCACCACAGTCACCAGACCTGAAATTATCGAACCTTGTGGTCTACTTGGAACGGAAATGCGTTCTCGTTATCCACCGCAACATCGTATCTGAACTTGCCCGTTTGCAGGAAGAATGGTATAATATTCCCTTGGCAAACAAATACGGAACTGATTATCCTCCGAGAACGATGCAAGCTGTTTTGGATGCCAACGGGTTTCCTACACCATATTAAGCAAAGAAACATGTTTTTTTTAAAGGTGTTTCCATATTTTTGTCCAACCCCTGTATATATGCTTAAGTATATATATATGCTTAAGTTAATTAAAAACTCTGAAAGCGCTAATTTTCGCACTCATTTTTTCCAAGTGGCAACAGTGACGCGCGTTGGAGATAAAAATGTTTTTTATTTTGAAAAGTGTTACTACTTCTCGCTTTCAAATGGTAAAGTTTGTTAATCAAAAATTTGTAAATTTTACAAAACCTATACATATAAAGAACAATGTCTGTTTGCGTGTTTGTTTGTTTTCGTCATTGATTTCTGATAAATTATGATAATTTTTTGCCACATTTAAACGATTAAAATTGAATATAGGTGAAATATTAGATGGAACTTGAGTTTTTTACGACCATCTGATTAAAAAGACGAAAATCATTAAAAAACTGCTTGCCATTGTTGCTGATACAATTAGAGAGAATCTCAATCTTACTTAACTGGCATCGGGTTCTTCCACTAGTTTAGTATATAATAAAAAAACTTGTGAAAAGCCTAAAAGTTCTTGTTTGTAGTTTTATCCTTGTTTCACATTTTCTGCTATTGCTACGTTTCTTCCGAATCATACAGTACTGTCAACAGGTACTCAGAAATTTCCCAAAACTCCTTCTAGGTGAGAAAATGATAGATTTTGAAGAATTCCTACCCATCTTCAGTGATGCCAAGAAATCCAAAGATATGGGCCAAATTGAAGATTTACTAGAAGGCTTGAAAGTATATGACAAGAATGAAAACGGAACCATGATGGCAGCTGAATTAGCTCATGTCCTTCTTTCTCTTGGTAAGTGTAATCATTAATAACACGGCGTTATAAAAAGTATCCGTTTTAATATAGAGATCTGTACTACTAACTTGGTCCGGATTCGCATAAAAAGCTAAAAGAACTTCTGTAAGTAATTTATTTGACTTACACGCAAAGAAATTTAATTTGTTGCTTATGAGTAAAACAACTTGTAACTAAAATTATCCGTAAAAGGATTTAAGTTTTACCATATTACCATTCGAATGGTTTAAAATTTAAATAATGTACTTAGGTTAAGAATTATGATTGCTAATTAAAGAATTGGTTTAGATTTATTTAAAAAATAAGCTTTGATCTTCTAAAATAGAAGTAAATTCAAAAACTTGGCGGAAACTTCTACACCGAGTTAATGTGTAGCTATTCCTTCCTTCTTCTCAAATAACATTTCAAAGAGAATTCTTTATTGAACATTGGTTTGGGAAAGCATTCAAAATTTTCTGATATATCCATTGTGAATCACATACTATGTATACTCAGGATCCAAAATGAAGAATGATATCATTCTAAGTTCTTCCATTCTAAAACCAGAATTAAAACAACAAATGGGGTATACTAAGCTAAGCTGAAACGCAAAAACGGTAAAAAAATGGTTCCGTAATGACCAAATTAAAGAAAATTATCTACATCAAACTGTAGTAGCAATGTACATTTCGATTAGAACACACATGTCTTTACAGCGCATTTCGGTATACTCCCTCGTAACGGGGGCTTCAGGCTTACTCAACACAGCATTATAAATCTGTTTTCAAGAAACGCAGTCCGCAATATTTTAATTCATGATTCAGAAGAATTTGAGAAAGTGATTTTTGTTTTACGACAATGAGGTTCTTCGAGAAGTGTTCTGAATGTATTCCATACATGTTCAACGAAATTTAAATTGTGAGCGGCAACCAAAAAAGGATAATATCACACTTTTTGCCGTCTCCTTCACCACGGCTCGATGACTATAGTGAATAGATGTTCAATTGATCCATCTTCCATAGCTTTGAAGTCACTTAGATTTGTTCCCGGAACCCGCTATAGAAGCATTAAGAATATTTTTACGATCTTTAAATATTGTGGATAAGGTAGATTTGGTATTTCCATATTTTTCGGCAATTATGCTTATTTACCCCACGGTATACTTCTTTTAGGATTTTTAGTCTAGTGTGTAAATTTATCCCTGTCTGCTTCCTCTCGGTCATGGCTCACTGCTTGTAACTTAACGTTAGTTGTTAGGTTCTGAAAACAACCAGACGGCCATCTACAGGACTGTCGAAAAGTGCCGCTAGAACTTTTGGAGAATAACGACATGTTAATTCATATGGTAACTAAACTACAGTCCAATAAATTTACGTAAATAAATTTGTGTGTGTTTATAAAGTCCCGGACCCATTTTGATGTTTAATAACTCATAAAATAATGAAGATATAAACAAACTTATGGCATTTATTGATGGAATAACTTATATATTTTCCTTTCGGTTTGAATATCTTTACTTTGAAATATCGTCTGCGCGTGTGGTTAATTTCAGATAATTTCATTTCCCTAAAGTCTGTACTTTTCGAATATCGTCTGCTTATTAACTGCATTTTCTCTCTTTGTTTTGGCATCTTTCTGGCATTGTTAATTGCCATAATGTGGGCATATAGGATCTGAAGACCCCCTGAATCCGTGAATCACAAAGGATTCCCAAGGTCATGTGTGGTGTAGACTATGCACGACCGAGTCATTGGGCCTTCTTTTTTACAGAAAGACGGTCTCATCAGTCTATACTTAGAATGTTGGAAAACTCGTATTCCACAACTAGAAGAGCTTCAGCCACATGTCTTTTGCAACAAGATTGCACCACCTCACTGGGGTACATCGTCTTAGTTCTGAATGATTTTACAGGAAAGGGATTGGGCGAGGAGGTCCAATTCCGGCCACCCAGATCACCTGTATAACGCCGCTGGACTTTTTCCTTTGGGGATTGTAAAGGACAACGTTACAGGAGGAGAGTGTGAACTGTTGACCTAAAAGCCAGAATACGACCCGCGATAGCCCTGTGGATGCCGACATGCTTGCCGGTACATGGCGTGAAATTGAATATCGACTTGATATTCTCCGTGCGACGCAGGGGGCACACGTGGAAGTTCATTGAGAAGGGTCATGAAACTTCTTGAGTCTATCTAACCATTTATATTATTAATTTTAATTTATCTTTATTATTTTATGAATTATTAAACATCAAAATGGGTTCGGGACTTTATAAATACTCTGTATTTTGTTGCAAATATAATTCACTTTAACTAAGAAGAGAGAAACATCAGGGAAAAAAATTAAATTTTGAAAATGTTAAAAAAAGTTAAATGGAAAAATCTAATGACGCAACGGACCAAAAACCGTTCGTGATTCGTGTTAACTGAATTCGATAGAACTTTCTGTAACATCCTATACATCGCTGCCTCTATCGAAATTTTGTTCGTATTAACCGAAAGCGAGTTCTTGCCAAGGAAAGGTTATTGTATACATATGTAATAAAGTCTGTAGATATCTTTATGAGTAGAAGACAGCTGCTAGATACATAAAATGGCATCCACAGACAGACGTAGCTGAAGAGGAAACATAATTTATTTCTGATACATTTTCTCAGTCTCAAATGATTCTGGGTGCGTTATGCACTCGAAAGTTTTATATAATTTGCGAAGCGTACTCATCTTTAGCATGGGATAAGACGGCATTTATGTGGATTAATTTTGAGATGTTATAAACAGCTAGTAGTTTTAAGACAGGAAGGGAACGTGGCCAAATTAAAATGAGGAATAAAAAGAACTACTGCCAAATTTAATTTAGTAGTTTTCTTTCAATTTATATCTTACATATCTATATATACATGTAGGTTTGATTATGCAAGAGATGGTAAATATTAGGGATGGAACATTCGAATTCTCTGATCCCCAAATCCCACGAATTTTGAAAAGGATTAGAGATATGAAAGCTCGTATTTTACCCCCTTTATAGTCATTCCATTCTTTGGAATACTAACCTAAAAACGTTAAACGGTTTAAGTTAAATTTTGAAAGGATTAGTTCTACTGACGCCTTGTACAAGCATCATTCATAAAAAAAAAGTACGCATTTGTTGCAAATTCAGTGCATCTAAATCACAAATATTACCTCTTGCCACCCATTTTTCCTTTCCGAAGACAATTTATTCTCCATTTAATGCTTAATGTGAGTTTAGCTGTGTAAATAATTCTCTGCCACTCAACCAGGATAGTGGTTAGCGACGTTGACTGTCGTACCGAAGGGCCAGGGTTCGAATCCCGGAGAAGGCATGGGTGTTTATAAATGTTTGTAGTGTCTGTGCGGTATGAGAGCACTCTGTTGCTCCTGGTCACGGCACCAAATGTTGCAAAAAAGTGCGCGGCGGCATCAAATGTTACAAATTATGTGATAATGGGTAGTGTGAATTAAAGCTTAATAAATGAAAATCTAATAAATTGCTTGATTGGTAGATCGCGTTGTGGCACAATAACCCATAAATACTTACAAACGTGCAGGATGAAATGTGTGATCTAAAAGAAATATAAAATTAAAGTAACTTACCCACAAAGGATGACATTCAAATAATCCAAATCAATTAATATTTATATTATATGATGATATTAAATTTTGAATCAGTACTAGCATAAATTAAGCAAATATCGCAGACAGAAAATATTAGTCTTACCATTTGAATCCTAATCTGTAGATGTGCGTAGTATTCCAATCAAAGTAGATCTCATTCCATCAACGTAAAGCAAAGTTTCGTGAGAAAAAAGTCAAATTTTTTAACGGCAGAAATTGAGTTAGCTGGCTGTACTAATATATTTTTGAAGAAGCACAAGGCGAATACTTGAATGATCCGGAAAGAACTCACACACATGCTCACTCACTTGCTTGCACATGAAGACTTCACTCACTTGCACATGAAGACTTCTCGAAGTTTTTAATTTGTAGAATATCATTAATTATCGGCAGTTGTTAGGTATATAGATCTATTGAGTTGTATCTTCAGTTTCAATTTCTTTATTAGAAGGAATACATGGCTCTACATCCAGCAACGGAGATGGCAGTCGAAGAAAAAGGAAAAAAAAATGATACACGCATCAGCCGGGGTGAGGACAGCCAGAAGACCGTCCTACACCTTCGGAGCCCAACAGAAGAAGTAGGAGAAACCGGTTGTAGCCGTCAATTTCGCCTTGTCATTCAGCGGTCGCAGTGAACACACTTGACGTTGAATAAATGTGGAGGCTTGCCTGCACACACTCTAAATATGCGGCGAGCCGAAAGTTCACTCGAGAAGATGGTTGTAGAGAGAGACCGTCCTCCAAGGTGCTTTCCATAAAAATTGGAGAAGCAACTGAGAGAAGTTATATTATCACCTGTATGGTGCTCCAGGCTTCTGCCGACGATAGGCGCAGGTTTGCACGCCTTGCCACGAGGAATTCTATGGGCTTGTTCTGATGTTACTGTCACACAAATGAGATAAGTCAAAACAACAATAATTCTCTATTTTATATGCTTGCTCATGACTTAAAAATATTCTGGAAAAAGATAGACTTTTAAATTGTTACACATATATTTACTACTAAATTACATCGAGAAAATTAATCTTAAGATCAAGAGTTTTTAATTATATACTTAATTTACTAAACTTCATGTACATTTTTTCCATTTTTAGTAGATAAATATTCTAGCTTAGCTTCTCGGGTAAATATTCTGAGCTTTTAACAAAGAGCTAATATTAA